AGTTATTAATGGTATGATATATCTTTATAAACTATTTTTCATTTATTGAAATTAAAGTATGCATCAATGGAAAGCATAAGCTGTTTCTCTCAACTTTTCAGAAATTTCTCTAGTCTAAATAACAATAACATCTCAAAAACTTGTAATAAGGACCCGATAAACAAAAACTCAGATAAGAAGAAAAATCGAAATTGAGTATTTTGGTAAATTATGGTATATTATTTAAGGGTGATTATATTCACACAAAATTATTCTGTAAATACACCGCATTTTTTAAATTTCATTAGAGGCTCCTAATATTTACTTATTACATTTACGTCCTCAACCAATTTCCATCACATTTTTAGCTTCAACCGTATATTAATTAGCAAATGTTATCCTTAATGAATGTTTCCTTTCAAAACTTCCGTTAATGTGCTTTAAAATAAGGAAGAAATATTTAATCACAAATTCGTTATTTGTTCGTGTTTCTTATTTAAAAATATGAGAGGAAATATGTCTTTTATCCTCTCTTACCGTAGTATTTGGACGAAAACTGCTGTTCAGAACAAATTGTGCTAATTAATGGAAGGCTAAAAATAAAAATGCGATGAAAAAAGTTGAGGATATAAATTTTACGATGGATAAAAAGGTCAGGGACCTTTCATGTAATTAAAATGACGTACAGTCATACAAAAATTTGGTGTGAATATAGGCTGCCATTATTTAACGTTAGAGCTGCTAGAAACTAGTGTAATCGAATCATGAAGGGAACAAATTGTACCTTCAAAGAATCGAGCGAACTGAGACCTTGCTGTGTATTGCATTTTAGAAGATCAAATTTTGGAAATTTCCTCCTTTCACTCTTCAATAAAATAGTATTGCCAAACTGGGATTGCAGACAACCACATTCCATCCTCTGAAATCAGGAACACATTGCTTTTAAACCATGTTTTTTGTGACCAATATATACATTCAAAAAATGAAGCTTGCCATTCCGGAACGTTTTATTTGTTCAAGAGTCCCCGCCACCCAAGAAAAAGCAATCCAGAAAAAAAAAAAAGGACGGAAACGAAGAAACTAAATTAAGAAGAAAATCAAGAGAGAGAAACTCAGAGCATTTCATGTCATCTTCNTGTGCGTTATGCTCTTTTTGTTCATCACCTCTGTTCATTCTTTCTACCTTCCGGGGGTCGCTCCTCAGGATTTTGTGAAGGTCAAACTTATAATTTTTTGTGTTTATTGCTGGTATGAGGTTCACGATTGATTATATTTGAAAAGTCTTGTTGAATTTTTTTTGTTGGTAATTGTGGATATGGGTTTAATTTAGCGTTTCTGAGTGTTTCATGTTTGTATATATGCGTCTGCATATTACTCTCTCTTCAATCTGCGAAAAATTGGAAAGTTACATCTTTCTTGTTCCAGTTCAAGCCCTAATATTGCAATCAGTTTAAGAACCTTGGGCCATATTTTGTGCAGAAGAAAGCACATGGGAAACAACATTATTTTTAGCCTATTATTGCTATTTGACGATAATCAGCAGGTTTAAGCACCTTATAAGCTCACCAAACATGCCCAATGATGTCTTATTTATTTGCTCAGGATCAACTGGTAGTTCACTCGAGAATCAATTGGATTGGAATAGCAAGTAGCATGATATTGCAATGACTAATTAGGAAAACAAAATGTCGGGGTTTCTTCCGTTAACAAATTCTTTGAAATTTTTAATATTTTCCTTTTTTGCTGCAGTGAATTTGATTGCGAAATATTTGACTATGGCTGTCCGTTTTGTTCAATATCATTAGAAGATTTCTGTTTTACAGGGGGTGATAAAGTTCTGGGCTTAGCTTTCATGGTAGTTGCTGAACAAACACTAGACGTGATGCTCACTTTGATTATTTAGATTTAGACATGAACTTCCTATTTAAGTTGTATGTTCACAGTCTAGTATTGAGCACTGAACTAAGCAAAAATGAAGGGACAAAAGTTGAAAACAAAAATGGCACTCAGAATTAGAATTACCTTCTCATAACAGGTCAACTGTGTCTTCTAGCAACCTTCAAACTTGTGGACAAATTATATTTGGAGTAATTAGACAACAATTTAATGGAATTGGATCTTTGTGATAATGTATTAGTGTGGAACAAAAACATGAAATTAAATGTACAGGCAGTCTGGTTCTCCCGAAAGAAACTTGTTGACATTATGTTTCAATCCCCATGTTTGATGAATAAAAATTTTGTAAGATGATGGCTCATGTGATTTTTTCGTAGAATCTTGCTCTCTGGATTGTCATGGACTTGATTCTTGGTTCATTGAGGTCAAATTGAATATATAAGAATTGAAACATCACTATTCAATGGCCAGAAATGTGAAAAAGAATTATATTGCATTGTTAATGTATATTTAAATATAGCAAGTCAACACTTTTTTTTCTGGATTACAAGCCAGATCTGCTTGTCTATTCAAAAATATTCATTGGAAACCTTCAAGTACCCCCAATAAAGACCGCAGTACCTAATTGAACAACAGACTTTTATGCAGTAAATATGCGTATGTAATGCTTTTACTTTTCTTAATTTCAGTTGTAACATGAGTTGCATTTTTTTTGTTGTTTTTATGCAGGGTGATCTTCTGAAGGTGAAAGTAAACAAACTGACTTCGACTAAAACTCAACTTCCTTACTCCTACTATTCCCTTCCTTATTGCAAGCCAGAAAAAATTGTCGACAGCGCAGAGAATCTTGGGGAAGTTCTTCGTGGTGATCGTATTGAGAACTCTCCCTATGTGGTCAGTCTTTCTAGTGGCTTTCTTTTCAAATTTTCATTTCTGTTGTACCTTGGTCAACTAATATTCATTTTCCTATTCCTATGGGTCAATTTTCAGACAATAGATAATAAACTTTTTATGCTGCATAAAAATTAAGCCTCTAATTGAAGTTTATTGTGGCAGTTCAAAATGCGAGAACCGCAGATGTGCAATGTTGTTTGCCATATCACCCTTGATGCCAAACTTGCAAAAGAATTCAAGGAGAAGATAGATGACGAATACCGGGTGAACATGTAAGCCACCTGTTTGAGGTATCTGATGTATTCTAATAATATTGCCGTACATGACTCATTTCCTACTTCATTGTTTTTTAACAGGATTTTAGATAATCTCCCTCTTGTTGTACCTTATAAAAGACCTGATATTGATTCCTTGGTGTATCAACACGGTGTGCCCGTTGGTCTGAAATCACACTTTGGTGAAGTAAGTATTAACTTGATTTGCTTTCGCAGTTGCAAATCTATTTTCTTGAGGAACTTCTTGACACCTTTTCTTCCTTCTAAATTGTTTGCTTAGAGTAAGGAGGAGAAGTATTTTATCTACAACCATCTGACATTTACTGTGAAGTTTCATAAAGATGAAGAGACCGATGCTGCCAGAATTGTGGGATTTGAAGTCAAACCATTCAGGTAATATTGTGTAGTGTGTTCAACTTTGTGCTTCAGCTGTAATTTGAGCCTGTTGTTGATGTTGGATTTCCTTTGTGCATCCAGTGCTAAGCATGAATATGAGGGTAAATGGGATGATAAAAAACGGTTAACAACCTGTGATCCTCATGCAAAACGCACTATAACTAGCTCTGATTCTCCTCAGGAGGTTGAAGATAAGGAGGAAATAATCTTCACTTATGATGTTGAGTTTAAGGTAATGTTTTGCAACAGACTGTGTCTGTAATTATGTGATGGAAATCTGGCTTTGTGGTGTATGTCATTGTGCCTTTCTCCTTGCCTTGCAGGAGAGCGAAGTCAAATGGGCATCTAGATGGGATACTTATCTTTTGACGGCCGATGATCAAATTCATTGGTTCTCAATTGTAAATTCTTTGATGATTGTTCTTTTCCTCTCGGGTATGGTGGCCATGATTATGCTGCGTACCCTCTACCGTGACATCTCTAAGTACAACCAGTTAGAAACCCAGGAAGAAGCTCAAGAAGAAACTGGATGGAAATTAGTTCATGGAGATGTTTTCAGGACTCCAACAAACTCTGATCTACTCTGTGTTTATGTTGGAACTGGTGTTCAGTTCTTTGGGATGATACTAGTTACCATGATCTTTGCTGCACTCGGATTCTTATCCCCGTCTAACCGAGGAGGGTTGATGACAGCTATGCTTCTTCTCTGGGCGTTTATGGGCCTGTTTGCTGGATATGCTGCAGCTCGTCTTTACAAGATGTTCAAAGGAATAGAGTGGAAGAAAATAACTCTTCGAACTGCTTTCACCTTCCCAGGAATTGTCTTTGCCATTTTCTTCGTATTGAATGCTCTAATTTGGGGCGAGAAATCATCAGGGGCCGTGCCATTTGGAACCATGTTTGCATTAGTGTTCTTGTGGTTTGGCATTTCGGTTCCTCTTGTTTTCGTAGGTAGTTATGTAGGGTTTAGGAAACCAGCTATTGAGGATCCAGTGAAAACCAACAAGATTCCAAGGCAAATTCCTGAGCAGGCCTGGTACATGAACCCGATTTTCTCTATCCTAATTGGAGGCATACTCCCATTTGGGGCAGTATTTATCGAGCTGTTTTTCATTCTAACATCAATCTGGTTGCATCAGTTCTATTACATTTTTGGGTTCCTCTTCCTCGTGCTCGTAATCCTAATCATCACCTGTGCTGAGATTACAGTTGTGCTTTGCTATTTCCAGCTGTGCAGTGAGGACTATCTCTGGTGGTGGAGATCATACCTGACATCAGGGTCATCAGCACTCTACCTCTTCCTTTACGCGGCTTTCTACTTCTTCACAAAGCTGGACATCACAAAACCAGTATCGGGTGTTCTCTACTTCGGGTACATGCTGATTGCTTCATATTCTTTCTTTGTGCTGACTGGTACAATCGGTTTCTATGCTTGTTTCTGGTTCACAAGGCTCATCTACTCCTCCGTGAAGATTGACTAAACGATAGCACGAGAAAGTAAATGTTTATTATCGTCCCTCAAGAAAGCTCATTAAACCCCTGGGGTCATTTTCAAAGTGTATGCCACCATTGTTGCTTTCAAGGTTATGCTCGGTTTAACCTTTGAACTCCCGAATCATAGAAGTTATCTTGCTTGTCTCCTTTGCATTTATAAATTTGGTAATTCTTATTCCTGAACTATCCCATTCTAGTTATATCGAGAAGAATTCTTGTAATGATACTTTTGTTGATGAAATACGTGTAAGGAACTTTTTCCTATTTGTCACAGCTAAAATTTTTATCTTGCAAAGTGCTGAATTCGCATTATCTTTAACTGTTCCGTCAGATAAAATCTCATTTTCACTGCAATTAACAGTCCCTACCATTCTTCAAAGGCAGAAGCTGGAAAAAAGTTTTGTTGCCTGGTTAGTTGTTATAAGATGGCTGCTGTGTAAAGCAAGCACTGCAGAAATCCCTAATCTTTCATCTTTAGTTATTTCTGTCAACCGTGCTTCACGTACAGAACCGAAGCTACGGGATTATGCTAGAATACCCACAAAAATGGGTGGGGTGGGGTTTTTTGGGGTACTTTTTTAATGAGTAGGACACACCTCATGTCTCACATCTTTAGAATCCTGTACGTCCGGCTTTTCTCTATTTCTGCAGACTACTGTATCTTGTTTAAAGACATGCTCGCTATGCTTGGATTTTAACCCTTTTTGGCCTTTAATATTGTTGAGTACTATTCACCTTGTGCTATAAAGCCTTCTCGGGGTGGAAGGTGCCCACAATCATTGTCGATCCTTCTCTTCCATTGAAGGTCCCTGAAAAATGGGGAAGATCTTGGCCAAAGTCCATGACAATACGCTCCCATGCATTGATGTGGACAGTTCTATCGTGACCCAAGCACGATTTGTTCAATAATACATGGTACTTAACTGAACGACTAAAATAAGCCAAACATGTTACTTAACTGAACGACTAAAATAAGGCAAAACTTCGCCATTTGATTGGCCACTATTAGCTCAGCAAAACAAGACAGTGCCTGAGATGAAACAGAAATAAAAGCTTAGGGACTAATTTGAAACCTAACAAACCAAGAGAATGTATTGGGCCTTATTATTCCTCAATGTGGGTAGATTTATGCTGACATGCAGTAGTTTGATTAGATAGGAATAAATATGTGAAACGAACTAAAAGTGCGTTTGATTGTAAATATAAAATTTGTATAGAAAGAAAATAAATTTTAGACAAGTCAACTGCCTAGAAATTATTAATTAAATGTGTTCGATTGATTTAATTTTCAACTTAGAAATTATTATACTTATCCAATTTTTATTGATGGGTAGATGAGAGATTGGCCAGAAGAGAGATAGAATTCCCTGAAAAATATAATTCTACCCCAACCAAATAAAATATTTTCCTTAATTTTGAGAAAAATATGATCACATTACCAAAAGTAAGAAAATGTTTTCCATGGAAAAAAATGTCAATCAAATGGCACAAAAATAAAAATTTGGGTGAAAAGACACATTTTTCATAAAAAAAAATATTGGCAATCAAATGTACCATAATTTAACTTTTATCTTAGCTAATCTAGTCAACCTTTTTCTTTTTCTTTTTCTTTTT